CGGCTCGAGTTGGGATCGCGTTGACGACCACGGTTGCTCTTAGTGCGGCCACCGTTGGGGACACCGGTGCCCATCATGTCACGGCTCGGCAAAGCAGTGCTGCCGCTGCCGGTCCGCGAGAGAGGCTGCGAGCGAGCACCGGCATTGAACGAACCCATGGGGCCAAAAGCGCCCATAGCACCACCGCGTGCGCCTGAAGCAGCAGCGAAACGCTCTTCGCTGGTCTTGGGCGGGTGGCTGAAGGAGCCAATTCCGCCCTTGCCGCCAAAGCTGGAAGAGCTGCTGATGCCAAGACCCTGAGCGCGGCCAGGAGCAGCGGGAGGACCCATGGCCGAGGCACGTCGATTGAGACGAGAGCTGGCGCCCATGCCGCCGGCCTCCATACCGATCGAGGCGAGTGGCGGCAGATCGGCGGGCTTCTCGGTGTAGACGTTCATGAATTGCAACAGGAAGTCTCGGTCGTAGCGGAATCTGCCTGGCTCGGCAGACTCGTTGAGCTCCGACTTGGGCGAGTTGATGTTGTTCGGGTAGCTGACCTTACTAAAGTTGTCGATGAACTTGGCGGACGTCAACGAAGCGGAAGCGCCGGATGAGGAACTCTCGGCCTTGGCCGAGGCGGGAGCGTGCTGTGATGCAGCAGCGCCGGTGGGCTCGGTGGAGACCTTCTTCTTCTTCTCGAGAGCCTCGCTGTCAAGCTTAATACCGTTCGGTGCAGCGCCGAGGGTGCTGAGAGGCTTGGCGGGCAGTCCAGCAAAGCCGGGAGTGCCAGGCGTGCGAGGCGTTTGGGGAAATACCGGGGTTTTGGGAGCGTCCTGGCTGGAGGGAGGTACCGAGGAAGCTTCGCGAGCCATGCGTTCGACGTCGGCAACGGAGCTGCGCATACCAGCGGCGTCCTTGCTGTCGCCGTCCTGGTGCTGCGAGGCCTTCTCGGTGTCGATGGGAGCAGGCTTGGGCCTGGCTTCCTCGGCGGAGGACTTGGCCTCGGCGGCGGCGGCAGCGGCAGCGTCAGTCTTGGCCTTGGCCTCCTCCTCTGCCTTCTTGGCCTCTTCAGCCTTTTTCTCCTCCTCGACCTTTTTGTCAGCCTCAGCCTTGGCCTTGGCTTCAGCATCGGCCTTCTCCTTCTCCTCGCGCTCTTTCTTCTCGGCCTCTGCCCTCTTCTCAGCCTCCTCGGCAGCCTTGCGCTCAACTGTGGCCTTCTCTTCGGCCTCCTTCTGAGCAGCAGCTTCTTTAGCGGCAGCCTCATCGTCGGCCTTCTTCTTGGCGTCAGCGTCCGCCTTGTCCTTGACATCTTGCTTCTTGGCATGGTCAGCGTCCTTGCCACTCTCCTGGTCAGCCTTTTTCTTTGCAGCCTCATCCTGTGCAGCGTGGATGCGGGCCAAGAAAGCCGCTTCGCTCTCCATACGAACAGGCTTCCTTTCGGCAGGCTGGACGATGGTGGGAGAAGCGCGGGAGATGCTGGGCGAGGCGGTGGCGGAAGTGGGAGCAGCAGCCGTCTTTGCCGCCGAAGTGGATGGAGTCCTCTGTATGCTCTGGATGTCGACGGGAGCCTGAGTTTCGGGGTTGACGATGCGGATGGCAGCACTCTGCCTCTTCTGCTGTGGCTCGAATTGGCGGGCAGCGGGGCTCATTGGGTTGCTGAAAGAATGCGATGGAGAGTGGTGGGCGTAGCTAGCGGCAGGGCTGAAGCTTGGTGGGCGACCACCTTGGGGCTGGTGAGCGGGCGAGGTGACGCTGCTGTGAGCGGCTGAGGGCGAAGGTGGTACGTTCGCGCCTCTGGCCGACAGCGGCGTGGACGGAGCCATGCTGGGGGTGCCGGGAAGACCGTTGGGACCCATGGGCGACGAGCCGAGGTTTGCGTGACGAGGCGATCGAGGAGTGCCTGGCACCTCAAAACCGGGCGGCTGCTGCCAGTGCTGGGGCACAGGTTGGTAACCGTAGCCGGGGTGGTAGCCGTACTGAGGAGGAGCGTACGCCATGGGTTGCTGGTGCGGCCATGGACCTCCCATGGGCTGCATTGGCTGCATGGGGACGGCGTTGGCCATGTGAGGAGAGCGGGGCTGCTGAGGACCGCCTTGTGGGTGAGCGTGGAACTGCTGGTGCGGGGGGGCCTGCTGGCCTGCGATTCTTGAGGCTTGAGGCTGGTGTGCCGAGGGCGAACGCTGAGGCTCAAACGGCCTGACACCAGGGTGGTGAGGAGTGCCTGATGGCGGTCTCAAGCTGGAAGAGGCATGACGAGCACCGGCTTGGGAAGCAGGCTGTGGGGTGGACGGAGCGGCGGAAGTGGGAGCAGCGCTAGACTGAGATGGCGAGGCGGAAGGGTTGGAGGCGGTAGCCTGGGACGGTGCAGGCGATCCAGAGCCCTGGAAGAGTTTTTGGAAGTCCATCGACTTTGCAGGGGCGGCGTTGCCAGAGTTGGAGGTGGAATCCTTTCCGCCAGCAAACCCAATGGTGGTCTTTTTGGAGTGAGGATCGTGAGCAGCTACGGAGCCAAAGACGGTAGGTTTCTCTCCGTGAAGATGCTGACCGGAGCTGGGCTGAGCAGCGGGAGATGAAGACAGCATGGCGTTCTGGTCGTGAACGGAGCCAAAGTTGATGGCGGCGGCGGGTCTGGCGTTGGCGGCACCCTTTGGGAGGCTCACAGCAGACTGGCGGTTTGAGGCAGCGTTGGCATCACCGTTGTGGCCAGCGGCGGCGACGTTGTTGTTGTTGCTGCCCGCTGAATTAGATTCACTCGACATGGGCAGAGACGGATGTCGAGACTCAAAGCAGCGTACGAGCGCCGCTTCGGGGATGATGAGCGCAGGTGTCAGTTGGCGACTAAAGCCTTTTGTGGTTGGTTAACGGTAATGCAAGACGGATACGAGTCGAGCAGAAGCGTTGGCAAGATCCTGAACAGAGGATTGAAAGAAGAGCTAATCTGCTTTCAAAGGAGCACAACCCAATGTCCACGTCGTGGTGAGTTGCGTGTGGGAATCGAGTCGGATTGGGCCGGATAGAGGAATCGATTCGGACGAAGCGCTGAGCCCACTGCGAGAATGCCTAAACGAGCGACGTTCGAAGTTGTTCAAGCCCTTTTTTGAAGCAGTGCCGTTCGAACCTTACGAAAGACAACTAGCTACGAAGAAGAAAAGGTAAAGAAGGGAGATAAATGGAGGGGGGGTGAAAGAAAGACCTCAACTTTGTCGAAAGAGAAGGGATGAGGTCGGATGGGTGGTGGAGAAGAGGAGAGATAGGGCGCAGAAGGGAATAATCTGACAGCGGGCAGTGTCTCTCTGCCAAAACGATGGGCCGAACAAAAAAAAAAGCAAGCAGAGAATCAAAAGAGAGCAAATCCATTTGTGATTTTATTGCTTGTCAATCGAAATGTAAGAAATTAATAATAAATTTCTCGAATCACAGAGACAGACTGACACATTAACTTACTCTGATTATCACTCTCTCACTCACACTCTTTTGGGATGCACCATTGCGCGCTCCTCTTGTCTTGATTTTCATCCGAATTTTTTAATTATTTTTTTTTTTTTGGCTTGATCTTAGCTACCCGTTCTCTGTATTTACAACATACAGTAAAATCTACAGTATTATTTGTGTCAAAATTTAGATTTCAACCTCGCCGTCTGTAGCTGTTGCTATATACCCACTCAAAATGCTAGCTCTTCATCTCTTGTTGCTCGTTGTTGAACCTCGCTGTATGATCATCTGTCGAAGGAATATGAAATAACTTTCATCAAGGGATCGACCTTGCTTGTATCAAGAAGAGCTGATTTCCTAGTTCATAGCACAGGGCTCGTTGTGGAGTTTCGCGCATCCGATCCTCAGAGCTGTATTGTGGTATCGCGAGACTCAGTATCTGCATACAAAGGAATAGTTAGACCAGTGCCATAAGAACAAAAAAAAACACTTGTGTCTGTGTGTGTGTCTGTGTGTGTGTCTGTGTGTGTGTCTGTGTGTGTGTCTGTGTCTGTGTCTGTGGAAAGAGAAAAAAAATCTTGGTGCCTTGCGAAGAAACAGAAATGCGCGCAACTTGCATCCGATTCTGTTTTCAGGAGCTTTTTCATTTTGAACTTGCTAGCCTCCGATGAACACGCACGAGTCAATACAAAATTTGAGCCAAGGGTGTGACAGGATATTTGACTTTTGCTGCGCCTCTCTCTCGAGCAAAACGAATTGCGTCTTGACTAAGACAAGTGACAGTTGACCGATTCCCGAGCCGTCTTCCTCACATCTCTGTCTGTTCGTCCAGGGTCCTTCCTTTCTTGTACCCCTTCGCAACGTCGAATGGATCTGCAAACTTGACTCATTCTCTCAGCTGGCAGATATGATACTCGTGCAGGTGCAGTCAGGTCCCCTAGTCAGAGCGTACATGCCACAAGTACATCAGCAATATGAATGAGTATAAGTCCAACTTGTCTTAATCATGACATTCTTGACACCAACGCGTTCGTCTGGTTTGAAACCTCGGCGATTCGATGAATATTCCAACTTTCTCACTTTCCCACATTCTAATGAACAAAGGAAAGCCGCAATTTTCACTTTGTTAGACCTTCAATTCCATATATCACTTCCTGCTCACCAGCCCTGGCGGTCCAACAGTGCGGCACCTCCACCACCACCTCCTCCTCCTCCTCCTCCCAAAGAATGCAAGACACACGTGCTATGAGACATTGGTTGCTTCGAGAAACGTTGGCACAGGCAAGAAGCGCAAACCAGCGGTATGGTACACAGACATGCTTAGCTAAGCGTCAAAATCGTAGTCAATCTACGCGACGCGATGCATTCGACGCGTGGCGCCAGAAAAAAAAGAAAGGAAAAAAACCCCAAAAAAACGCACTGAGGAAGTTTTTTTTTTGTCTAGAAATCCAACCCCGTCCTGAATCTCGTCAACTTTTATGTCTTGCTACATTCAAGTTTTTTTTTGTACTTTTCTTAATATTAACAACGTGCCTCAAGCATAGAACTTATTGTGGAACATAAAAACGCCAAAAAATATGGAAAAATTTTTCCCTGCCGGGGAATCGAACCCCGATCTTAGCTGCACATCGTTATGAAAACGGTCAAGATGAAAGAGCCATATCTTAACCACTAGACGAGCAAGGAGCTTTAGAAGAACAGTTCAGTGTGATAATATAATGCCGATTTGATGATGCTTCCGCCAGCCACTCTGTCAGCTCATTGCACAGCTCAGGTTCACCCATAAGACATGTATGCTTTGGGTAAGGCTTGTAGGTGAAGGCTGTAGTGCAGGAGATTCATCACATGACAGCCTTTTTGCTTCTGGTGCACCAAGTATCTTGGCTCTAGACTCCCTTCACATGGTCACCACACCTGGACAGCAGCTAGCTGCAGCAATTTTTGCACAGATCCAAGGGCAAGCTTGATTGTGCTGAGGAAAGTCAAAAGGTGCAAGAATGATTCTTTTCACAATCAACAAGTGCACAGCATCACAAAGTGTGTTTGCAAGGATGCAGGCCAGCAATATGAGCAGAAAATTCGGTTTTAGAGTAACTAAGAGTGCTAGAGAGGAGGATGGATGATCCAAGGGGGCCTTTTTGTCGGCATGGTTCGAGTTAGACAAGACGTCGATGGACTAGAGTATGTCGTGGTCTCGGCGCGTTGCATACCGGCCAAGATTAGCGCTTGTGTCTTTGCATCGTCCGACATGTTTGCGAGCAATTCCGCCACCTCGAGGCTTGTCAAGACGTCTCGTGCACTAGCTGACTTGTACATCTGCCTACGCTCAGCTTGTTCGGGAGCGAAATTATCCATGCTATCGGTGCGCCGCTCATCACAATTTCCGCAGTTAGCACATGTCGACGTGGCGGGTGCCGCTACCATGTGGGTAGATAGCCTGGGTACGCGTTCGAAAGCTTGCGAAAGTCGAGAAAGACCGAATGGTGTCGAGTCGCGGTGCGGCGGAGGAGTGTGAACAGCCGCTGTTGCAGACGTCATCAGAGGATGTTCTATCTGATTTGTAAGAGGCGACGCCGTAGTTCCGGCGGTCGCCTCGCCACGCAATGGTTTTGTGAGGCTGAATAGGATCTTGTTTGGACTGTCTTTAGCGCACAGCGCGCCAAGACGTTGCCGAACACCACTTCGCTTGTCGTCCGTGCTTACACGGTAGTCGTTACTGTGCGGAACCAGAGCACTCTTCGACGTATTTACGTCCATCGTTTCCGCCCTGTCTGAAGGAACGAAGGATTTTGAGCCGAGGGGGTCGTCGAACTCATCTGGTTCGGATAGTCGAAAGTCGTGCAGCTGTCGAACGCTTGTCTGTTTAAGGTGTTCATCATCGAGGCTTTTTAGCGAAGGTCGTCTTGCATCATTGACAGGCAGCGTCTGCGAATTCTTTGATTGAGCAGGTGCTGCGCATCCCACTCCACAACCCTGTTTCGGCGCAGACATGATGCAGCTATCCACTGACAAGCTAAGCACCAGCTCTGGCTCCTTATTCTCCTCTGCTAAATTCTTTGTTTTGCTTTCTGCAGGTGGAGGCTTGACCGACCAGCTTGCCTGCAATATTCTTGCAATCAGCCTGTCCGTTTCATCGATTGCTGCTGCCGAGAGCCCAGCATTCTCCCAACGATCGCCCCACGTAGCCCTAATCTCGAGCAGAACAAGATGTTGACAGACGACCCACATCGCTGACGAGTACAACAGCATCAAGTCTTGCGCTTTGCCCTCATCCCAGTGTCCAACAATGAAGCACACCACGTTGAACACGGTCGAGAAGGCCAAGTACAGCACGCCATTGGAAGTGAGTCGGAAGAGGAGAGGCGTCATACTATTCCACTGCGAGTTTATCCATTGGGCCCAACCGATGTCACCTTTACTGGTGTCGTCGATATTGGCGCCAGGAAAGACACCTACATCATTGTGGTGCTGCCAAAGTCGATACGTACTAAGCACTATCGCGATTGTGTCGTAGAGGACTGTTCCTGCATAGAACCAGGCAAGCGGAAAGAATTCGTAGTTCCCACCTTCCACGAGGATACATGCACCATCTGGAAGCCTCTGTGCTTTCATGCTGAGCACGAGGAGGGAAGAGAAAACCATGAGCGTAGTGAGCAGCAAAGAGATGATGACGATGATTCTTGCATCTTTTTGCCAAATTGCAATCGTTCGCCAGCCTAGAACGGCAGAGACGGAGAATTGGACGAGAAGAGTGGCGACTTCACAGTAGGGAATGCAGATTCCATATTGCCGATGCCAAGTATTGTAGAGGCCGAGAGTGATTGCTATGGCTGTTGTGTAGCGCATGATGACGAAGAGGGCGAGGTGCGGCGCCCTCCAAGGGATGGTGAAGTATATGCGTATCTCTGCTGGGACGGTCCTGTCTGACGATGAATAGTGATTCGGTCATCGGAGATTTTTGTCAGAATACACGACGCGGGTGCAGGTAGAGACTTGACTAATCTTTTAGCGTTTTGACCTTCCTCCAGCAATACAACATGACAGACGATCCAACTTACATGATATATTCCCAGCAATAGAGTGTCGCAGCGACAATTGCGATATTGTTCGTGAACGCCTTGCAGAGTTGAATCAGGGTTTTACATCAGCGCTGAGTCTCTCGAGTGTGGTTGCAAGCGGTAAACTACTCACACCTTGTTTGTGGAATTGTGGCAATAGCATTCCTGTCGCAACAAGATCATCGGCGGTGTGTGGCGTTGCCGCCGCCGTGCCATTGCAGAGCTGGGTCAGCCATGCCGTCGTCTGACTTTTATCCACCATTGAAATTTGAGAACGATGAGCAGAGTGCTGTAAGAGATACATCAAGAAGGGTACTGAGACTTCAAATGTCATCAAGTAATGGAGCTGAGTATCGCAATAAAGGGCCGAGTCTTGGTGGGGTTACAAAATAATCTTGCCCCCACCGGGTATCGCAGCGGAATTAGGTGCGGCCATTCACAATCTTCACCAAAAGTGGTGACGCCAGATGAAATGTTTGATGTCTACCCACCTCAAAGAACTCTCCGGCTAGAAATGAAAAGCAAACATACTGTGCTTTACAGTGAGCAACGAGGTTGATTGAGGCAAGCGCTTGCATCTCGTGAGCATAGAGACCCATTGTATCCGATAAAGGTGAGCAATTCGACGATAGGAGCATGACAGCAGCCGGCGTTACCCAATTTTGATACCTGTCTCATCAGCTCTCACAGACAACGAATTGCACATTTCCTTGGGTCTGCAACCGAAAGGTCTCGCCAACGATCGTAAAGTCACGAGCTATATTCACTTCAAAGGCAAAAAAAGCACAAAACAAGAGCAACTTAGCGTAACGACCGGTGTATTAAAGAAAGACTGAGCATGAGATAAAGCGAACGACCTCAACTGATCTTCAACCGGTAAGCTAGGCGGAGAAAGTCAGGAGCTGAAGCCCGATCGAAGCCATAAGACAAGAGCATAGGAGACGTGAGGGGGGGACGATCGAGACTGGGAACCAGAGAAAGGAAACAGGAAGCTACGTGTGGGACTGGACCATGAAATGCTAGAACCTATCCAGTCGCACGGTGCCAACAACTGATGGCGGGGGAATAGATTGTTCGGATGCTGCTGCTGCTATTGTTGAAAGAGGATGAAGTAACGAACGTTATGAAGTAGGCGAACGAGAACTTTGGAGGAGGTGACAATGACCAAGACTATTTAAAAGGGGGTTGTGTGGTGGTGATGATAATGATGTGGACGCGACATCCCGTGTCGACAGAAGAATGCGAAAAAACCAACGATGCCAAGATGAAACAATGCCAAGAGAAAATGTGAAACACGACCAAGAGCCAAAACCTCTAAGAATGCCTTCGAAAACCGAAAGGGAGAACTTAGTTGATTGGAAGGGAAGTGCATCCAATGTTGACAAGACCATCCTGGGTCACGTTGGTGCAGCATACTGGCGACGACTTGCAGATACTCTGAAGCGAGATACCAAGAACAGGAATCTGCTGGCAGTTCAATCCAATGTCACCAGCGATCGAGTTGAAGCCAAGCAAGCTCGCGAGGGTCTTCTTCTTGCCTTCATCGTGAACCACCTGGCTACAGCATTGAGCGGAACCCACCGAGCATTGACCGTTGTTGTTGTGTTCCGAAGCCTCACGAGGGCGGGGACGCTGGCCACGGCCATCTACAGAGGGAGTACGCTTGGCCATGGCTTCGTCCTCCTCAGCTGCCCAACGCTTGACGAAGCTCTTGAGCAAATCCTTGTTACCAACGGGAACAGAGATACCGCTCATTGCCTGACCAAGGAAGGCAGAGGGGTCCACACCAGCATCACGCTTGGGGGTGACGTGTTCGGCGGTGCCGGAAAGGGCATCAACGTGGTGGGTGGCATCACCGGTGTTAGTCTTGTCCAAAGCCTGCTGCAAAGAGTCGATCGTGTACTGCAACGTTTCGTATTGCTTTACATCCATCGCTCGGCGGGAGTGCGCGCTGTTGACAATATCGGAGAGAGCAGAGAGGGAGGCTTGAGCAGGAGCTACTTGGTTGACGTTATTGATATCTTTGGTCTCACCTCGTCGAGTCTTTTGTTCGCTAACCACCTGCGAGAGGGCAGCAGCAACAACTTGGACCGGAACCACCTGGTTGTCGTTGTTCACATCGCTTCCGCGCTTGGTGGCGTGCTGGCCGTTAGCTACCTGTGAAAGGGCGGCAAGGGTGGCCTCGATGGGAAGGACCTGGTTGGAGTTGTCGACAACATTATCGCGCTTGTTGGCCTTCTGCGAGTTGAGGACTTGAGAGAGAGCGGCAAGGGTAGCTTGGACGGGGATTACCTGGTTAGTGTTGTCAACAACGTTGTCGCCACGCTTGGTAGCAGACTGAACGTTCTCGACCTGAGAGAGGAGAGCAGCGGTCGCCTGGATGGGAAGAATCTGGTTGGTGTTCTTGACAACGTGGTTGTGCTCGAACTCGGGAGCCTTGCGCTTCTCGGCGGACTGACTGTTAAGCACCTGGGAAAGGCCAGCGATGGTGGCCTGGATGGGGACGACCTGGTTGGTGTTGTCGACTACGTGGCCAGCCTCGTGCTCCCAGCGCTTACCGCCGGCGGACTGGAGGTTGGCAACCTGGGAGAGAAGAGCAGCGGTCAGCTGAATGGGGAGAACCTGGTT